TGAGCACAAGTATTAGTTAAGGCAGTTTTACTGTCTTAGATATCATTACCTCAAAATGCAAGCTTCAAGGTGAAATTTCAGAGATAAGTTTGCATCAGGCTTACCAAAATGCAACCAAACAAATATATAAATGATAAAAACAGCATTAAAGATTTTGTGACTCTACATGCCAGATATGTTATAATCCTAAATCTAATTTGCCACAAATACTTCTGAAGTAAGAATTAACAGCTCCCTCTTTGCACATGAGTATGTATGTTCATTTGGCAGTTGTGAGCACAGGGCTGCCCACCTACTGACCATTTCTCCTGACCCAGTGGAGCACATCCCACACCCTCTTTCAGTACTATCCTCTTTACCAAAGGAAGAACTCAAAATGTATAACAATTCCAGGATTTGGAACTGGCTTCTCAGCATTTTCCAGGAAGAATGGAGCAATAAGATATTCTACACATGTGTGTGCAATTTCTTCAGAATTAAACTTAAAAGACGTGCCAGTATGTCAACTAACTATAAGCAGGTCTCCTTGTATTTGCATTTTGACAACTGTTGTAGCTGTGTGCCTTCAAGTCATTTCTGACTTATGGCAACCTTAAGGCGAACTTATAGGGTTTTCTTGGCAGAATTTTTTCAGAGGCAGTTTGTCCTTGCCCTTCTCTGAGGCTGAGGGAGTGGGACTTTCCCAAGGTCATCCAGTATGGGTTTCCATTGCTGAGTGGGGATTTGAACCCTGGTCTTCAGTGTCGTAGTCCAATACTCAAAACACTACATCACACTGGCTCTCTTTTGACTATTTTAATTATGTGCAAGCTGTGAATTCAGACTATTGATTCTTTTTGTTATAGGTCACCTGAATGCAACCATGATTTCTCACTTAATCCACTATTTACCAGCTTTAAAACAATAACTTCAAACTGTGATATAAGATCTCATGTTATGTGCCTTGAGGTTGCCTGTCAGTCCCATGAATTCATAGGCTTTCCTTAGGCAAGGAATACTCAGAGGTGGTTTTGTAGTTCCTTCTTACAGCACCTTTAGCTTGCTTCAAAGCTGGTAACCAGGGTTTCTCATCTTGGTCCATAGGGAAAACTGATTAATTGGAGTCTTCTGTATCTCCTGAGGCCATGTCACGGAGAAAGGAGCAAAGTGGCAACAAGGCTCTTTCATCTCAGTTTATTAAAGCCAGCATATATGATTGTCTAAAATCAATGTGTTTTACTACAATTTAGTAATTCAAACTACAGGACAAAAGACACTTACAAGTTAAAAACTTCAATTATCATCAGAGTACTGTATTGTCATGCCCCAGAATGTAAGGGCCTGAACAGACTGCCAAAAATAATCCAGTTTAAGATAACTTTAACAGCCTTGGATCAGTGCTAGGGAATCACGGGAATTGTAGATTTTTCTGAGATATTGAGCCTTCTCTGTCAGAGAGCTCTTGTGCCACAATAAACTACAGTTCCCATGATTCCCTAGCAAAGAGCCAGGACAGTTAAAGTGGTCTCAAGCTGGATTATTTCTGGCAGTCTGTACAAGCCCTAACATGCGAGTAAAAATGTTTGCAGAGTCCACAAATCAGATCATAGGAAAATCAGCACTTCAGGTGTCCTTGTATTAGTATACACACGTTCTGATTAGAAAGCCAGTTGGATCTGGGTTTGGGAAAACAGAGTTCAAATCCTCATGCAGCTGCAAAGCTCACTGGGGTGACACTGAGCCAGTTCCAATTTCTCAACCAAACCTATCCCACAAGGTTGTTTGGGGGATACGATGAAGAGAAGGGGAGATAATATACAACACTTTGAACTACTAGGAATATAGGCAGGATATGTATATAATTTATTTACTATGTCAAAAATGGATGCATGTAGGTCTAATTTCTTCACTAATTCAGGGGTCTGAGTAATTTATAGCGTGCATATTTCTTCAGTCCTTTTTGTACTGCTTGAACTAGCATCCTCTATCTGCAAGTTTCCATTTTCCTAAAAATTTACCAAGGATGACAGGTAATTCAGCTCTTTCATTTTCGACCAATGGTAATAAAAGAGTCTGCTGTAATATAAGTACGGAACAGATTACTTCTCATCCATGTAAAATGGTTTCTGCAGTTGATAACAAGGGGAAAAACTAGGTCTGAATCCGCTTAAGTACAGATATGCTATACTGTATGGCATTTAATTTCAGAAAGTGTGAAATACATCTTCCTAAATGATTACAGAAATATTCCAGCACAATTAAAGCCATATTTATGTTTGTGTCCCCTTACATGCAGACTGTAATACAGAGTCTTCTTACATCAAGGACTCTGAAAGTTATCATTCTAGAGAAATCATTATTATGGCCTCAATACGATGTTTCTGCTGGAGGTTATGGGAGGGTGCACCTCTCCTCCCTGCTACAACCTTCTTCAATGCCTGAAAACAGCTGAACGGCGATTCCCAGTTCTCTCAGAGCCAATTTTGGGAGTGGACAGGGGTGTGCACAGTGAGGCAGTGCCTAATCCCTCCCAGTTCCACCAGCAATGGAACACCATTGTACAATATGGCCCTGTGATATCAGTGGTCCTGATCCTAAGAGGACATCTGTCAGGTCAAACTCCAAAGTATCTCACCTATATCGGGGCAATTGTAGTGGGCCTAAGAGCAACTGTCTGATAACAAAACACTGATCTGAATTTCTTATTAATGCTTTGTAATGCATCACCACCTTTTCCCAGTTTATATTAGTGAAAAAGGCAACAGAATGGGGACACATCAGAAGTGAAAAAAAATTACACCACACTCATAGACAATCACTATAATCAAATAACGAGCACCATTAATATTTAACAAATTCAAAATTAGCAATAAACAGGTCTGAACCTTTCAAGGCTTGAAAATGAGGATCTGGAGGCAGGGTCTTGAAGAGGACTGAGACAGCATTCTAGCTGTTCCCAACAGGGTTTAGCAAGCTGGTTTTCACTGGTGACCAGGAATCTCCTGACAACCCTTTTGTGTACATACAGGACATACGATCCCTCCCAGACTTGTGTACATACAGGACATACGATCCCTTCCAGATACTCACAGCAGTGGTGAGACATTATTTTCCCAGTCTATGTTATGCAGGAAAGATATGACCTCTTCCTCACATCTTCCATCAATTCATGTTGAGTTGAGCAACAGAGACTATTTAGCTACTTCCAAAGAACAGCACTGGGAGGGAACTGCTTCTCCTCCCCATCGTATTTCTAGAGGACTTATTTTCTCACTCTGGACTGGAATTTGGGGGATGGTTAGAAGCAGCAGAGTATTTTCCAGCTTCTGAAGAACACTGTGAAGTCAGCAACTTCAGCAAATCCTTTGGAAAATGGGGAAAGCATGAGGAGATGGATACAAAGACATCTTGCACTAGGCTTCAAATACTTCAGAACGCCTAGAAAGACTCCCACTGCTTCTGAGCATCTTCATACGCAACATAGGATAAATGGCTGGTATATAATTCCTTCCTTCTCCAAAGCCTTCTGCACAAGCCAGAGGGAGAAGAGGCATTTGGGCCAGCCAGAAAGGATGGCTACCTACTGAGGTCAATCAGTGTTTGTGCGCCCCTGAATGTATTCAGGCACTGCAGCCATATGACAAACTTTCTAATGACAGGGTCGTGTTTTGTATCTTCACTAACTTTCATTCCATCTACCTTCCCAGACTACTTCATTCATTTTATGAAGCACTCCATTTCAGTACATTTGCTAGACTAATGCAGCTATTCAGCTCAATTTTAAAAGGAAGATTTCAGGCCTCATCTACATTTGCAGAAGGAATTATTCTTCATAAGACCCCAGTGAAAAGGAGCAGGAGACCTTTGATGCACCACAATGATGGAGAGGAAGAAACATCTCAACTCAGAAAGTGCCAACAGCTCAGTAAGACAAAGCCAGCTCTCATGACCTTCATACTTGCTATAAATAATCATGAGGATATGTCCCATCTGATCCCATACTCTGATCACGGACAGATGAGAACTTAAGAACAGAGACATTCTTGAACCTTTCAAAAAAGAAACACCAAAATACAAGATTCACCAGAAAGCCCGCCAGGTAGGGAAAAGGACATAAGAGATTGTCATTGGACAGCCTCTGAACTTGACATTCAACGACCAGTTGCAACCCCAAATATGCTAATACCGGTTCTGTAAAAGCATTTGAACCTGCCCTTGCCCTAAGGAATAACTTGTAATCCACCCTTCAAAATAACGTGTTACTATCTGATGTGTCTGTCAAAACATCACTTTTAGTGAGATACTATTAACTCCATCAGTCTAGAAAGGCTGTCCTGCAAATACCATATCATGACACCAC